CTGATGTGTCTGTTTGGGTTCTGTTGGACCTGATGTGTCTGTCTGGGCTCTGTTGGACCTGATGTGTCTGTCTGGGCTCTGTTGGACCTGATGTGTCTGTCTGGGTTCTGTTGGACCTGATGTGTCTGTCTGGGTTCTGTCAGGTTCTGCAGCTGGATCCAGTCATCGAGGATGATGAGGAACTGCAGAAGTCTTCCAAGGTTTGGACCGACGGACGGAAGTGGACCTTCAAACCTGCTTCAGTTTCTGATTCTGATCCTGATTCTGGTTTTGTGTGAACCCAGCTGCTGCCGATCCACATCCTGCGTCTCGGGGTGGAGTTGGACTCCTTTGATGGACACCACTACGTCTCCTCAGTGGCCCCCGGGGGCCCCGTGGACAAACATGGAGTTCTGAGGCCCGAAGACGAGCTGCTGGAGGTAAACACATCTGGGCTCTCTGTCCGTCCTAAAGCGGTACCGGGCCTGTCACAAACCCTGACCAGAACCAGGGAAATAAGACGCTAGTTCGGATCACTCGACTGGTTCTGGGTCAGCTCTAGTCTGGTTCTGGATCAGTTCCCGGGTACAGACCCATAATTTGTTTGGTCTGAAGGTGAATGGGGTCCAGCTCTACGGGAAGACCCGGCGTGAAGCCGTCTCGTTTCTCAAAGAGGTTCCTCCGCCGTTCACTCTGGTCTGCTGCCGACTGCTGACCTCTGAGTTGGAACCAGAACCAGGACCAGGACTAGGACCGCCCCAAAGCAGTATAGACGAGGTGAGACCAGTTTGTTTTGGTTCTGATCACTCAGAAAGGGCAGATTAGAACCATCAGGATCCTGATTAGAACCTTATCTTTGTGCTAGATGGAACTGAAGCTGTCCTCGGTTCTCCTGAGAGACGACAGCAGACGGGTCGGTACCAGATGGACCTTCATCACAGTGAACTTGTTTTATTTTATCATTTGAAAAGAACTGATGAGGTTTTATTGAATGTTTCTGCACCAGGAGGAGGAAAAGTCTATGAAGGAGGAGGTTCTAGACAAAGAGGAGGTTCTGAAGGAGGAGTACGAGGAGTCGGTCTACAGCCAGGAGGAAGAGGAGGAAGAGGGGGAGGATGAAGGGGAGCTGGCTCTGTGGTCTCCTGATGTTCAGGTGGTGCAGCTGCAGAAGGAGAGAGACAAAGGCCTCGGGTTCAGCATCCTGGACTACCAGGTACCAGAACCTCTGCAGGTTATCCACAAAAATAACAATCTATAGTATAACGCATAGTACACATCATAGTACATCTTGTAGTACAACTAATAGTATACCTCACAATGCACCCAATAGTTTATACCATAGTACGCCCTCATAGTACACCAATAGTACACCCCATACACATCCCGAAGTACACTCTTTAGTACACAAGATAAAACAACCCATAGTACACAACCCATTGTACACATAACCGTACATCTTGTAGTCCAATAGTACACTCTGTCTGTCTGCCTGTCTGTCTGACTGTCTGTCTGTCTGACTGTCTGACTGCCTGTCTGCCTGCCTGCCTGTCTGCCTGCCTGTCTGCCTGCCTGCCTGCCTGCCTGCCTGTCTGTCTGTCTGTCTGTCTTGTCTGCCTGTCTGTCTGTTAGAACATGTGAATTACATGGTAAGAACACGTAAGTCGTTCTCCTCCTGCAGCTCGGCACCGTTGTCGTCTCTCGGGCTGGAAATGAGTTTCTCAGTTCAACTGAACCAAAGGTCAAAGGTCGGCCTTTACGGCTCGCCTCGTCTGCGGCCGAACTCCAACGGAGAACGTTCCTCACATTTGGCTCCTCATCTGAGGAACGTTCAAGATTCTGATGGAACTAAAACGCTCCTCGAATGAAAGAAGTCCAGTTCTGTCGTTAAAAAACATTTATCATCAAGTTATTATCTGTCATCTCCTTTCCTGGTTCGGACAAGTCCAGCACCAACACCTGGTTCTGGTCTGGATGAGGACCAGTGTTCTCTGACAGCGGAGACGAACTTCACTGAAAGCTGTAAAAACGCCCCAGAAGACATGACGGTGACATCGTCTTTAATCAGACCCTCGGTGTTCAGGAAGAAGAGTCGGCAGGAAACAGGAAGAGGCTTGAATTTGGAGTTTCAAAATAAAGCTCAGAGACACCTGTCAAAATAAGAGTTGGCCTTCGATAAGTCGCAGTAAATTTCTGTTGGGCTTCAGAGAAGAACGGTGAAACCTTTAGGTTTTCTGCAGAAAGTTTTGTTCTGAGCGGACCTGCAGCAAAACGGACCCCTCACAGAGTTCTGCAGAACACCTGGTCCGAACGGCTGAAGGACAAACCCGCCTGCAGCTGCCAGAGTTCAGACCTGGTCCTGCCTGAAGTTTCTGAGAAAACCTGGAAAGTTGCGAGTGAAACTTGTGAGGCTGAAAAGTTCTGCTCCCGGAGTTCTTCTGGAACTCGAGTCGGACCTTTACTTCAACCTCCTCGCTCCAAACCTGAGACAAACCAGCTGCAGACGAGATTTTCCTTCCATGGGCCAAGAACTGCAGTCTGTGTGCTCTTCTCTGTTTGCCGGGCTCCGGGGCTCCGGGGCTCCGAGGCTCCGGCCCCCCCACCCTCAGAGGTCTTTGTTGCTCTGCAGGATCTTGTGGGAGTGGAGGACCCGAGTTCTGACTCCTCACCATCTGCAGCCACGCAGCTCCATCTAAAAATACGGCGCAGCTTTGTTCTGGCAGCTGAAACTTGGCACGGCCGCTGGTTCTGCTGCGCAGGCGAAGCTCCGGGGAATTCATCCGCTCGCACCACGAGAGGCTTTTAGCGCCGCTGAACGGGTCTCTGAGGGGCTCAGATTCTGGCGGGTCGAGTCCTCGTGGGTTCTGCGGTGAAGGCTGAGCATCGGGCCGATTATTTCCCGTCAGGAGGAGTTCTTCTGCTGAAATCACTCAACCTGAAAAAAGCTTTTATTCCCATCCAGAACCAGGCGAGTCCAGATGGATCTGTGCCGTAAACTGGGATTCATCAGAACCAAACCAGTTCTTTCAATCAGACGAGTCCAATGAAATAAATCCTGTTGGTTTGATTAAACATCCTGATCAATTCAAACGACGGACGTGTCCCGTGTTCTTCAAAGATCATTTTCTTCCAGTAAATTTACCTCCGGGTTTCAGAGAACTGACGGTTTAAACCTTGTTTTTTTTTTAAATGACGTTAAATTTCTTGACCAATAAAATAAATACAGTTATAGAAAAACACAAAAGTGAGTTTCGTCTTCTAAAGATTCTGCTGAAGTTGTGGTTTCAGTTTGAGTTCACGCTGTGGAACCTTCATGAGTTACTGAAGGTCACGGAAAAACATGAAGGTTGAAATCCTGCAGGTTAATTTTAATCATGAGAGCCTGAAACTGTCCCCTGGAGGACATGTAGGGACATGAGGAGACATGTAGGGACAGATGGGACATGACGACACATGTAAGGACAGATGGGACATGTAGGGACATGACGAACTGTGTAGGGACATGACGACACATGTAAGGACATGACGAGACATTTAGGGACATGACGAGATGTGTAGAGACATGACAACACATGTAAGGACAGATGGGACATGTAGGGACATGAGACATTTAGGGACATGAGACATTTAGGGACATGACAAGATGTGTAGGGACATGACGACACATGTAAGGACATGACGAGACATTTAGGGACATGACGAGCCGTGTAGGGACATGACGACACATGTAAGGACATGATGAGACATTTAGGGACATGAGACATTTAGGGACATGAGACATTTAGGGACATGACGAGATGTGTAGAGACATGACGTCACATGCAAGGACAGATGGAACATGTAGGGACATGAAGAGACATGTAGGAATATGGTGAGACATTTGGGGACACAAGACGTGTATGGACACTTTGGTTCAGCGCTGGCCTAAATGTGGACATTTCAATTTAGTTTACTGATTTTCTTTGGATGTAAACAACAACAACAACATCATGTGAATGTTTGTTTTGAGAGGTGAAAACATGAAATGACGAAAGCATTAATTTAAAACAAACACAGAGAACTGTTGTTGTTGTTGTTTACTCGTGTTTTTCTGCTCAGAAGACAAACAGGAAGTCTGTTCAGACCTCAGCAGGTCACCTGGACTGGTTGTTTATCTGGTCTCTGTCGCCCCCTGTCTGCCTCGGTCACAGATTCAGAACTGAATCAGGTTCTGTCAGAAGAGAACCACAGTTACCTGATTCCAGTTCTTCTTCTGACCCGGTGTGGACTGTCTAACCTGTTGGTTCTGCCAGCCTGAAGATCTGACCTGAACAGTAAATTGGACCACTCATTGACCTTCTCACTTCTGATCATTCAGGACCCGTTAGATCCTGGTCGCTGTGTGATGGTGATCCGTTCTCTGGTTCCTGGTGGTTCTGCGAAGCGTCATGGAGGTTTACTTCCTGGAGATCAGCTCGTGTCGGTCAACAGTACGCAGTTGGACCTGCTCACCCTGGCCGAGGCCGTGGACGTCCTGAAGTCCGCCCCACCTGGAGCCGTCCATCTGGGCATCAGGAAACCTCTGGTGGTAGGTAGAAGGGATCCTCTCCAACCTCTGTGTTTGTAGGTTCTAGAAGATCCAGTGTAGGGTTTGGACCTGCCCCTCTAAGGCCAGAAGCTGATGTTAGGCCTTGTGGTTGCTAATCAAACTGAGAGCTGAGAATTTCCAGGTCCTGGTCTTGATTTTTGTCCTGTTTTTGTAGGTTGAAGCTCCAGAGACGAACAATCAGGAGTCTGTCAGCAACAAATCTGCTCCAAAGGTAACGGTCTCTGTTAGATCCTCGGTCTGAAGGTCTATGGGTCTGACTGAGAGTCTGAGGTCGGGCTTGGAGTTTGAAACTCTGACTGATGATCCGAGTGTCTGACTTATGATTTGAGGGTCTACCTGATGATCTGAAGCACTGACTGAGGGTCTATTTGATGGTCTGAGGGTCTACTTCATGGTCTGAGGGTCTATGATGGTCTGAGGGTCTATTTGATGGTCTGAGGGTCTACTTCATGGTCTGAGGGTCTATGATGGTCTGAGGGTCTATTTGATGGTCTGAGGGTCTATGATGGTCTGAGGGTCTATTTGATGGTC